AGATATCGAATGCACACTGTACTCAGTGTTACGCATCGATTTAAGTACAGACACCTTATTTGGCATTTTGCATTTGGCCACCATAACAAAACACAAATACATTTATAATCCTAGCAGTTCCCGAGTGCCCGGTTATATGACCGCCCTCGAATGCGTGGGAACTGCAGTGTCAGCATATTTGATATGTGCGACCGCTCCGACGGCCAAGTGAACATAGTATCTCTCTCTCTCTCATATATATAAGCACAATAATACATAAGCGTCGACCGCAGCTCTGCCGGCGTCTCTGCCGACATAGCCGGCCGATCTTAGCTTTATGCAAACATGTAATAGAATTAAGAATGCAGATATTAATAATAAAGCTTGGGGAGCGTACCACTGAGTCGCTCCCTAAATTCAACAAAAATTAAAGAAATATTAAATATTGTGTTTTGTTATTAAACATGGCGACCGTGACAATGTGATCGTAAGTGAATATATCCAACTATAAAAAATAAAAGAAAAATAAATAAAATAAAATAAAATAAAATAAAATAAAATAAAATAAAATAAAATAAAATAAAATAAAATAAAATAAAATAACACACTAGGTATAAAAATAATTGAGTACCTTTTACCTTACCTAGCTACATATTTTTATATACCTTTGGAATTATTAAGGTACTTACATAGGTATTAAACATTGCTCTGATTTAAAATAGCCAAATCTGAATGCGACACTGAAATAAGCTAAATCCACCACATCTACACGTCATTGTAACGTTTCGTTTCGAAACTGTAATAGTCGGAACATATTTGAGAATGAAAACTAATCGCAGTTTTATTTTATATAATTTTGTGCACGTATGTATGTTCCCATCACTACATCAATTTATTTATGAAACCAATGTGTATTTGGCGCGCAAAAATGCCGTATGTACGTAAACAAACGGCATATACATATGCACAATATATAGTCAATGTTTGTACATACGCAATTTTTGCGCGCCAAATATGTACATGAGGGTTTTATAAATACATTAATGAAGTGATACGTGCATACAATTATTCATGTCGCGAGTTTTCAAAATATATACACAAAATTATAACATTTAAATTTAAATGAAATGAAAAGATATTGTTTGATTAAGACGACTAAAAACGGAAAACTAGTCTTATTTTAAGTTTAAATGATTACATTGAATAAAACAAAAAAATTATAAAAAATAAAAAAACAATATATTTACCTTTTACCTTTACCTAGGTACTGGGAAATTGAAGCACCTTTACCTTACCTAGGTATTTTTTTTGCCCAAGACCTTTTACCTTACCTAGGTAAAAAAACACAGTACCTTTCCCAACACTGCCTGTAACACATATATATACATCCATAATACAAAAAAAATATATATATACATAAATGCCTAAATCAAGAAAAACAAATAAAAAAAAAGAGGAGGACAGAAAAATTTCCTAAACCTCAAGATTAAAGAATTAAATAGGCAACTGTATGATTCAAACTCAACCCCAGTACCATGGGAAGAGAACATACAAATTAAAAAAGAATTAGAAAACACATATAGGGAATTACAAGCTTATAAAAATAAGCAGGACATGAATGAAGCGAGCAAGCCTAAGTGCCCTCCTGATTGTAAAGGTCCTTTCGAAAACCCTAATTGTGAATATACATGTTCAAAAATTTAATATATATGAAAGTCTCATTTAAAAGCAATTCAATATCCAAAACAGATCTTACAGACGAGACAGAAAAAATACCCAATATGGGATTAGTAGAAGTTAAGTCAGTGGATTCCACTGCTAATGTAATAAATAAAATTGAATCACAAAATATTTATTTCAAATTAACGAATATTTTACTATCAATAATTGTTTTCTTTATGAGCGCATATATTTTATATAAGGCCTATAAGTTCCACAACAAATATGTATCAAAGAGAGCCATTAACAGAAGCCAGGCTAATGATCTGGATAAAATCTAATTTAACAAGCACCAAACAATATTAATAATAAAATACAAAAAAAAAAAAAGAAATTAAATTAAAACAAAAAATTAAATTCGAAACAATAATTGTATTGTATATGTACGAGAATTAAAATAACCGTTTAAAAAGAAATAAAAATCATTAAAAAAAAAAAAAAGAAAAAAAAGACAAATTATTAAAATGAATACAACAGAGTGCCTTAGAGTTATATTGGCTAACGAGCCAAATTTTGAGAATAGGGTATTAGCCTTAATTAGGAACAGAGCAGAGCCTCTATTAATTGCAGATTTTGAGTATGAATACATGAATAGGTACGATCTTGAATTCTATCCAATTATTCATTGCAGCAGAACGCAAAAGGCCGTAGTCACGGTTGCCACTTCAAAAATTTTTTTTGGGCCAAAAAATGATTAAAAATGAGCCAATTTGAATAAAAAAGAGCCAAATTTTTATTTATTATTTATTTCGAATTTATTTAACTTAAATCATAAGATAGTATATAAAAACATAAACAAAAACATAACAAAACATTTTTCTGAAATGAAACAGCTTAACAGCTAAATCTTACTGGTAATTAAAGTCATTCTGAGACCAAGCATATTCAGTTTTTTTTTTCTTATCATATCTTAATTTAAATCTTTGTGCGACCAAACATAGTGCGTTTCTTTATTTAAAATTAATTCCTTGCATAGCATTATGCTGCTAACGGTATTAAATTCTAATTTATTTCTTAATTTGGTTTTTATTAGGCTAATTGCAAAAAATTTTCGCTCTGCTGCAGCAGAGCTGTGTGGGAGTGATAATAAGTTGTGTACAAACTTAATGAGATCTTTAAACACACTTTCATTTAATCCATTTGTAATCATTGAAATGTTATCCCAAAATAAAATTATATCAGTCTCTTTTTTTAATGTATCGTTTGATAATTTCAGCATTTTCCACTGATTTATTATTTTGTCAAACTCTGATTCGCAGAGGTATTCAAAATTTTTTAGCAGTGGAACAATGTTCCACTCCTCAGCGGATAGAACTTTGGCAGGAGTTATTAAAACCAAATTTTGTATGTCCTTTCTTGAGAAATCAAATCGTCGTGTTATTTGGTCAACAAGTTCCAAATAAAATTGTCTTATTGTTACTTTAATGCTGTTAGATTGCTCTTCTAGTAAACCAGAGTCAGAGATGCACTGTTGTGCACTAAACCCTATGAATATTTCTTCAACAGGCAAAAAATATATTTCAAGATCACAAATATTTAATTCTTCTAAATTCATATTTTTGACGTAGTCCTGCGTTACAATGTTGCTTAAAATAAGCTTAATGCTGCTTTGTAATCTTGCATACAAATATGGCAAACGAGCCGATTCAGACTGAAATTCAACGTTTAAATCATTAATGATTTTCAAAATGAAGCTTAAAAATAATAAGTAAATTTTAAGCTCTGGCTTGGCCATGGAATTAGCTATCTCTTTTGGCTTAATGTTGTTAACTTCCAAAGCCTGGGACGAGAAAAAGAGTTCAAGAGCATCCCATTGCTCCAGAATTCGCGAAATAACCTTCTCTAAAGATAACCAACGTGTCATGGCTATTCCTAAAATTTTATGGGGCTTTATACTACAATATTCTTGAAATTCTTTTAATTCCGATGTTCTTTTTGGACTAAACGAAAAATATGAATATATTTTACGGCACAGCATTTCAATTTCGGACGGTAATTTTTTACAGGCGTATCCTGAGCAAAGGTGTAAAGAATGGCAGGTACATTTCAAAGAAAAGAGATGGGTATCTCCACTTAATTTGGTTTTAAGGCTATTAAGGCCTCCAGCCATAACATTAGCACCATCTGTTGCCAGGCCGATTAGATTTTTAAGAGGTATTTGGTTGTCAGAAAAGAACGCTTTGATGGCGTTATAAATCGATTGAGCATCACATTTTTCCACCTCAATAAGAGCTAAAAATTGGTCCCTAATACTGCCAGAAATGTTGTGAAAGTAACGTACCACCAACACTAGGGCTTTTTTGTTGGCAACGTCTGTGGTTTCATCAACAATTAAAGAAAATTTTGTTTCTTGTAATGCACTCACTATCCGCTGCATTGCTTTTTTTGCAAGTTCCTTCGAAATGTCAGTTGCCTTGGTCCGACCACACTTTACGCCCTTCGCAATTTTTGAATCTGGACAACAGACCCGCAGCAAGTCCGGCAAGTAGTCCATCAGCAAAAACGGGAGGTTATGCATTACCAAAAACATAACAAGTGCGTACTCGGCATCGCGCACCTGCTTATAATTATTGTCACTACGTTCCTTTGTAAATGTGTCGATTTTCAGTTGGCTTTCCTTTATTTTTAAGCAACGTATATGTGAAGCCTGGGTCGAATGTCTTTGGATGTGCGTCAGGTGATTCCGTAAAATTATACCACAGGCAATACAAGATGCACGCCCGTCGTCGTTCTTCAGCCAGGAAAATTTGTCCAGCCATTCAGTACGCACTTTGCGATTTTCCGAAACAGAAATTCTACGACGAAGAAATGTTAGCTAGATCATTAGAAAAATAACACTTTTACTCTTACTTTTTGTTTGCGGGATGTGAATCGCTTGAAGTCTCAGTATGCGTTTGCGGCGTGGGCGCAGCTTTATTTAAACTGCTTGAAGTTAAAACAAACCTGCATTTAGGTAAACAAATTAGCTATATTGCATTTGAGATACACAAATGTACACGATTTCTTTACTTACTTGTCCATTTTGCACAAATTATTTTCGCACACTTTGAGACACCACAATCACCGCCAAATTTAGAAGCACATGTGAAAGTTACCATATCGATACACTTGTTTAGAGCTACCATACCAGCGGAACAATTTAGTTTCGATCTGGCACTTTTGGGTTTCAGACATAAATCACTCTTAAAATAGCAAAAAAAAAATGCATTAATAAAAAAATGAATTCTGTTTTTTTTCAAGTTTAAAATATTTTTTTATCGCTATTAGCAAAATAGAGCCAAATTCAATAAAAATGGGCCAAAGAGCCAACGCCAAAAAAAAGAGCCAGATTTGGCTCAAAAGAGCCAAATCTGGCAACCGTGGCCGTAGTACTGTCTACCGTGAGAAACTGTAAAGTATTCTCCGAAATCGACATACCCAGTCTTAGGACATATTAACGTGCTAAAAATTATGCACAAGTAAAAATTAAAAAACAGAAATGACTAAAAATTTATAATGGAATGGGAGCAGTTAATACTCCATATCCGAGAATTAAAAGAAACCTTTGAAAAGTCCTACAAATGTGTAAGCCAAAAAAGGCAAACACAAAAAGAAACAGTAGATAAACATGCAAAAATTCTTGTAGACTCTTACAATCAGGCAAGAACCCTAGTGCATGAAAATAGGGAAATAATTAACAAAACAAACTTATCAAAATTATCTAAAATATTGATAAGGTTGCGGGCAAACCTAATAGCTGTCAAGGATAAGTATGATTTAAAAATATATATCCCGACAATTTTAAATACGCCTTTAACATTAGACCAACAAAAAGCCCTAGCAGAAGAAGAAGATTCAGATATAAGCAAAGATATCGAAATAGATGAAAAAGATCTACACGATCTCTCAATCCCTGCATTTATTAAAGCAGTAGAGTCAGAAACAGAAGAAGAGGAAAATATAGATTCAGATACAAATATCGTAGAAACAAAAGAAAACATAATGGCAGATTCATCAGCCCAACGGGCATATATTAAAGAAATAGCAAGTGCCATTCCGGAATTTAACGGACAAAAACTACACTTGCATAGATTTGTAACAGCTTTGAAGCTGGTTGACCTGACAAAGGGAACGTTTGAAGATTTGGCTGTAGAAGTCGTCAAATCAAAAATTGTAGGATCTACACTATATAAGGTTCAAAATGAACTAACGATAAACGCAATAATCCAAAAACTGCAAGACACTATTGACGGAGAAACATCTGACGTTGTCAAAGCAAAAATGGCTAAAACAAGCCAAAAAGGCAAAACTGCTGAAAAATTTACAAATGAAATAGATAACCTACGAAAGCTCCTTGAAGCTTCATACATTGACGAAGGACTACCGGCTGAACATGCCGACAAGTTCAGCACAAAGGAAGCTATAACCACAATGATCAAAAATTGTGAGCATGGCCGACTTAAGACTATCCTAGAAGCTGGCAACTTTTCAACAATGAACGAAGCCGTCACGAAGTACATACAGTGTAGTACTGAGATGACAGGCAACGCCAACTCGATCCTATACACACAAAAAGGAAACAACTATCGTGGTAATAACTTCAGAAATAATTATCGCGGTTGGGGTAACAACAGAGGTAATTATCAAAATAATGGATTTTACCAAAACAATGGTTATAACCAAAATAACGGTTATAACCGAAACTATAATAACCAGACCAACAATAACTACAGAGGAAACTATAGAGGAAACAACCGTGGTGGAAACAATAATGGATATAACTCCAATAAAAACTTCAACGGTAATAACAATCACTATGGACGGCAGTCCATGTAGTGACGAAGCGCACCAGGAGAGTGTGCGAAGGCGACTACTATATATACACGAAGAAATGAAAATCTAGTGTGATGGTCCGATCATAATGAATGATACACCTTAAAGGATTGCATACCAAGACTTTAAGAAAATCAATTGGCTTGGGAGAGAGAGCGGTGAAAGTGAAAAAATGAAAATTTCGAAATTTGGAGCTGTTGGGGCCGGTGGGGATAAATGCCCCCTCGCAATGTTTTAGTTGTATTCCTTTTGAAAATACCCGTCGAATGAGGGGTCATTTGTCAAAATCCGACGCTCCGTTCAAAAGTTATAGCCAAAATAAGATTTCCTTCTTCTTCCCAAAATGAAAATTTAATTCTGTTTGTCAGTTTGTCAGTTTGTCAGTTTGTCCAAAACATGTTTCTTAAGTTTTGAAAATTTAATATGACGTTCATCCCATCGATATAAAAAACTTTTGTTCTACCACTTTTGGAAAAACTCGCTAGTTTAGCGGGAAAACAGCTATAAATAGCTAAAATTCGGAAAACCGTAACTTCTATACTACTAAAGCTACAGACTTGTGATGCATCTTGTTTGAAAGGTATTTTTAAATGCTATAAACGCCTTCTATATGCAATTTGTGTAAATGTAATAATTAAAAAGATATGAACAAAAGACAATTTTTTAAAACTTTTTTTTTAGCTTTTTTTTAATAATCTCAAAAACGGCTCTAACGATTTTCTTGAAAACTTTAAACTGTATAGCCCTTGAGATTCCTTAAATTTTGGTATATAACACATTACTGTAAAAAGTCACGTTTAAAAGTTATTTTTATACGAAAATAGCCACTTTTGCCAGCTCGAACAATTAACGCTCCCTGAGTATTGAATTTTGTGGGAGGGTATCCGAACTGTATTTTAGGGTCATGGAATCTGTAAATTTGCACTTAAGAGTTCCATATAGGAATCTTTTGTTCTACGACTTTTGGAAAAAGCCGCTACTTTAGCGGGAAAAAGCTAAAAATAGCTAAATTTCGTTAGTTTGTAAGTTCTATACTACTAAAGGTACAGACATGTGCTATACCTTGTTTAAAAGGTATTTTGAAATACTTCAACGCCTTTTTAACTTAATTTGTTAAAATACAATAGTTTAAAAATTATGATTGACCAATTTAAATTTAAATGTATATATTAGCTCCTATGAGAGCAAATGTAAACAAACAAAAACTTCTGATATCAAATAAAAACACCTCTTAACGAGGTAAAAAACTAGTGACGACCGCACCTTCAACATACAAAAGTTCTGATATCAACATTTGTGAC